ATACATATATATATATACATATATATACATATATATACATATGTATATATATATATATATATATATATATATATATATATATATATATACATATGTATATGTATATATATATATGTATATGTATATATATATATGTATATATATAAATATGTATATATATATATATATATACATATGTATATATATGTATATATATGTATATATATATATATATCTTCATATGTATACATGTGTATATATATATATATATATATATATATACGTACAAAATATAAAAAGAAATTCTGAAGAATTATATTTTAATTACTTACGCCAAAAACCTAATTGGAAGAACATGTGGAACTACAAAGCCTGGAGGCTATACCTCTCAATTTCAATTAGCCAAATGTGTTCCATTGTCGGCGGCCGCATACGGGGAGTGTGGTTGACTTGGCCACGTCGACTCGTTCGAACACTTGCCCCGTTCCCTCTTTGGGCTCCTTTCATCACCACGTGGCGTCCCTATGGTTCACGTAATCATGTATTAATTACTCTTCTCGAGTCCGATGATAGAAAGCGATCGCATCGAATCGAACCCTCTTCCGACGCACTACATATGATCGTTGTAATCGTCCTCTCCTACGCTATTATCTAAAATCTTTTTGATACGATGTGATGGTGTCCCATCCGAATAAGTACTTCGATCATATTCCAAATTCGAATATAATATATATCAATTATAATATATATCGTTGAAATCTTTAATTAATTGGTATTAGAATTTTAATTCGCACGGTCAAGCACTAAAATTAGCAGGCCCAGAACCCATGATGAATCCATCCATTATTGAGCCTAATTAAGCCCATTAAATAGACAAACATGGGCCGACTATAACTACTCTGCTTCGACCTATATAAGGAAGAGGGAATCGTGTCGAAACTGTACGGGTTTCTGGTTCCGCCGACCATCGCCGTTGCCACTCCGCCTTGCGCCTTAAGCCTCTCTCCCTCTCTCTCTCTCTCTTGCTTGTGTGAGATGTAGCGTTTCTTACTTCTCTACGATCGACTTAGATGGGTTTGTTTCGGATTCGCGGATTGGAGATGCGTCTCAAGCCCTTTCTTTCGACCTCCACCCACCTCCTTAATCAGTCCCGGTCCTTGCAAACCTTACCCGCCTACGGCCACAACCGCGGCGTCTCCTACATAGCTTCCCTCGTCTTTCGTTGCCGCGCCGCTGCTGGCTGCGCTCGCTCGCCCAGGCTCTTCTTCTCGGTCTCTTCGCATCAAGAACTCGAGTGGCGCGAGGAGCAGCGGCAGCCCTTGTCATCATTCATCAAGGACGACCGCCAGGACCGCTTCCGGCTCCAGCAGGATAAGCCAGGCCGATTCGTCCCCGTCAGAGCCTTCTTCTTGTCCACCAGGTCATTAGTGTATCTGCTTGTGCTGCTTTGATTTCATTATTTGCTGTGAAAGAGTTATTTCCTGATGAATGGATGCTTGGGGCTGCAATTGCAGCATTGATTTGAGAAGCTTGCAGTTCCAGAATTCGTTTGACATCATCCCCCCTGCCTCTCGTGCCACCAACTATGTCATTCTTAGGTTCTATGATGTCAAGAGTGACCCGCATGTAAGTTCGATTTCTCGTATTTCCCAGTAATTAATCTTCACGTCGTTGTCATGTAGGCCAAGACATGCTTATACATGATACCTTCGATTTGATCATTTTGTTTTGTTAACCTTTTTATTTGTGTATGACTTTTACGTTTAACTCGCTATCCTGAAATATGCAATTTATTTGACTCTCATACTCGTTCGTTTACTGACCCGTGGACCAGAGGTTGATGCTCATATATACACTCATATACATTCCTATACTTGGTACTTTGTGAATGCATATACAACTTCATGTTTATATCTTATATTTGAAACCTCTATTTGTCATTGAGTTTATTTGTCTTGCTGGTAAATTAAGTAGCTTTATTTTAATTAAAGAATACATAACCAACTGCATTAGCTTCCATTCTCCAGTATTGCTATGTAAGTGCTTTGTTGGCTGAGTGCTGCATTATGTCTTGTCTATACAAAGGTCACAGTTTTAGCTCATCAGTGATACTGGAACCCTTGCATAGCTCCATGATCTTTAGTGAATCTAGTATTGTCTTTAAGTTATGTTTGGGTTCTTCTGTAGTTGAACTTGTTCTGGATAGTCACCTTGTGTACTGTTGATATATTTTGTTTCTGTTGTCATATGCTTTTCTGTTTTGCATTTTCTCATTGCATTTTGTCCAAAGTTATATGACTTCGATGTAGTTCATGGGTTTGCTAATGTTGTTTGTCTACTTATTGAAACCACACGATATTTCAGGTTATGGAGCTTGATTTTGCGAATGAGAGTAATTGTCATTATATGGTAGTTTTTCAATATGGTTCTGTTGTGTTGTTTAATGTTTCTGAACATGAAGCTGATGGTTATTTGAAGATTGTGGAAAAACATGCATCAGGTTTGCTGCCAGAGATGAGGAAGGATGGTATGCATGCAAGATCTCTTCAATTTTTTTAAAATCATTTCTGTGAAATAATTCAGTATTAAAATCATAATTGGCACTGGGGATCACTTATGCATAACGAGAGACCCATCTATGTATCTCTGTGATTTCATTAGCTGCAACTTTCATTGTTTCGTTAGTTGCAACCATATATGTTTTTCCTGCTTAATAAATACTCTCTGTGATTTTTGTTTTCTCTTTACTCTCATTATTTATCTTAGAAAAATAATAGTTCATGAGGTTGATTTTCCTGGTGTAAAGCAAACTGATTTTTTCAGAATACTTTCTGATAAACCTTGACTAGAGTTAGTAGAATAACGGTTTTTAAAATTCTGAATATCATCTTCTTGGCGTATGTACCAAAGGTTTTTTCTTCTGTAATCTTTTTTTGGGTTATAAAATTCTAATAAATACGAGATAACTAAGATACTTGTTAATATTTCAGGCACTTCCATATCTCCATTGAGATGTGTAAAGTTCTCTGTATCCTTATCTCAATCAGGATGCATCTTGGTATCAAATATCTTCATGAAATTTAATCTTATTTTATAATCATAAATAAGGTTGCAAGAAATTTTCATTATATAATTTGTGAAAAATCTCCTATGTTTTTCTTTAAGCTGTATAGTAATTATCATCTTTTATCTATCTAATATTACGTAGTACTATCTGTACCATCTTAAGCAAACCTATATATGCTGATTATGACTTATTTAAGTTCCTGATTTACAACAAAAACTATGAATACTTGCTATTATGTAGCCATATACTGACATCCTTTTTAGCCACTTGTTATTTAATTTTGTATTTTGCATAGTATCACCATACATTCTAGCCAATCTTTACAACATTTTGCTTTTCTAACTATAGGTTTTTTGAAGTTGTTGCTCTTTCACGAGTTCTCCCTTGATGGTGCACCACTAATATGGTTGATTAGGGACCATGTGAACTAATGTTAGAATAAAAAATCATGAGTGGTTGATTAGGGACCATGCCTTAATATTAGAATTGTAGCAAGAACCTGGATTAGGAGGATAAAGGACCCAAACCATCCTAGTATTTCTAGTCTAGCAATCTGAATCTCTCTAAGAACTTAATAAGAAGCCATTATCATGGTAAGTATTGAAATTGTGTACTCAGAGATGGAATGCGGCATGTATATATTTTCAAACATTATTAGGAAAGTGCATACAATGTTGGACTTTTTGCCTTGTAGTATATATATTTTGAAACTCCCATTGTAATATTTCTTTAACTTTATGTAAATCTAATAAAATATAGAGTACCATGCGTAAGAAAAGGGTAAAGCTTTACAGATCTGAGCAGCGTTGCAGAAACTTACTCATTTGGGTTTATATTGTAACATCAAATTTGGAACTTAGCTCTATGATGTTTGGAACTTCATAATGGTACATTATAAGTGAAATCCACTTAAGGTACAAATATAAGCAATTGTTTGAAGCTTATATGCCAGTTGTATCATGGAAGGATGACATGTCATGAATTTTTTTATTGCTTTGGATTTATGTCGTGCTACAAACTTTTACTATTATCAATGTTGAGTCTTTGGCTTGGATCTGTTAGTGATTGTGAATCGGGCTTGTCAAGTTAATGAGTTGGTTCACTCATTGGGATGGATTATGATAATTGGTTTTTTATTACGGATCCAAGTAAGAAAGGATTTCTCGTGGATGGGACTGGAGATATGTTACAACAGCGCACATCCTTAGAGTTCGAATATGGACTACGGGTTAGTTCTTAGCTTTGATGACGATGTCAAATATTAAGTGGGAGATTGTAACACCCCATTTAAGTCTTATATTTGAAGTGGAAGGATGAATGTAATTCTATATAGGTATAAACATTTTTGATCATTTGGTTTTAGACCTATTAGTTAATGAGTAAAATTTCCATTGGTCCAAGTTGTAACACGGTCAAAAGAGCTATCATGGTTTCTATTCCAACTGCATTTGAGCTGCATAATATTGGTCAGCATGATTAGTTTGAAATTAAATATGGTATTAGAACATTACAATTTGTAGATAACAGAAACTTTTGACTTGAACTACACGTTGAAGAGGATAATAATAGTCATTAGGCAATAACTGAAATGATAAAGAAATATGCATCTGCTACTGCATCCTGAGATGGGGCAACCTGTATATATGAACTGATATGCAGTTCTATTTTCTTTTGATAACCCTTTCTTTTCCAATTGAGTCATTCCAAATTTTGATTTGACTAAAGTTCATTTATGCTTTTCTATAAGTTTGTCAAGGGTTCTTGTTAGGCTTAGTGTTACCTGACCTAACTATTTTAGCAGCATAAAACACTTTTTCACTTGTTCAGCTGAACTAACTGATTAGATGTCTTTGATTCATAGACCACAAATAGCTATTTCTTATGCCCAAGGATTCATGCTGGCTATCCTGTTGTGCATGTCATGCCCATGCTTAACTTGTGCCTGCTTTCATATATGGGCAGTGCCAACATATCACATGCAGCTAATGAGTATGTGTAATATTGTTAATCTTTGCTTGTGCCTGGATTGTTAACTTGATTAATTTTACATTGATAGTCTCTATATAAGTTATTTTACTTTAGTCTTTTCTTAACTGCTAGTGGTTTCACTTATTGTGATACAGACTATGTGGTAGTTGAAATACCAACCTTGAAGACCTGGATGCAAGGTGGGCTTGACTACATTATGCTTAAGAATTTGAGCATAGATGGTATTCGCATCATTGGAAGTGTTCTTGGTCAAAGCATTGCTTTAGATTACTATATTGGGCAAGTATGTCACTGATTGCTCCCTAAAATGTGAATTGTATCATTATTGTGCATTAAAGGAAAACATCATATCTACCTTGGCATTGTTAGGTTGATGGAATGGTTGCAGAATTCACAGATATCAATCATGAAATGAAGAAAATTGGTACTTTTACTGTAAAGAAGGAAAAACTTTTTCAGTTAGTGGGGAAAGCAAATTCTAATTTGGCGGATGTTATTCTTAAACTTGGGCTTTTTGAGAGGTACGGTATTCTGTTACCAGCACATTTTGGGCATTGATATGGATAGAATAACATGTAATATTACTAATATTAAAAAGCAAGATTGGTAGTAAAATTGCATAGTTTAACTTCAAAAATTTTACACGTTAAACTTAAATTGGTGACAGAAGTTTCCTTTTGCCCAGTGCAATAGTTCCTCTTATCTACATTCTGGTTAACAAAAAATATTTCATGGTTCAATTTTCTTGGTCATTGTCATTAATTTTAGAATTGCAGTATTAAATTATTCTCCTTGTAAGTTATTGTTGGTAACTTCTATTTGTGACAGAATATATCACACCAAGAATATTATGTCTAAAGCATTCTTCAATTGTTTTATTGCAGTCATGATTCTCTGCATATTTTTTCAATAAACTGTCATCATATGGTAATTACCATTAATTCAATGAATCCCAAATACTGTTAGTTACCATTAACATACTGGATCTAAGTACTGCAGGATTTTGAATGGTGGAAGTTTTCTGTATTTGAAGCTTGAATCACTTGTCATGCTTTAAAACAATGGATTACATTTTACCTTTTTGGTTGTCCATGTTAAAATACATTGATTATTACATCTAGATCCGCAGAATATATGTATTCTTTGCAAATTTCTTCACCTCTCGATGGATGTGTGATGTCTTGCATTGTCAAAATGAACCATACTGTCACATGAAACATTATATGCCGGTATCCCATAGTGAGCTTGATCAAAATCAATAAATAAAAGCTACCATTGGCTCTTTTTTCTTTTTTGTTGCTAGTTCTTTGAAATTCATCATCTCCTTGTTTGAAAAAGATAGTGGTAAATCTATTCAGTAATAAAATATTAAAATAATCATGGAATTGACCTCTAAAACTGTATATGTTGACCCTCCTCAAATCCCATAAATAATTGTTCTTTGAGATATGAGAGAATCTTTCTGTTGGCTCTGCCATCAGTTGTGTATCAGAATGTCTTGTATATGTTGATTTGTAAATGTGTTTATGACCATTTGCCCACAACTATGACCATAATCATGATTTTAATCTCAGTAGATAGCTTATCTTTTTACAGAAGAAATCTTTCCATAACAATATACTGTTAAAATCTTCCAGATTCCTTGTTAAAAATTTGATTTGAACGAGTTGATGAGCTCCTCTATCCATTTTCTTGGTTGACCTGCATGGATTTAGCACCTCATTGATCATTGTTTCACATATCCAAAGCCATAGATGAGCTGTTAGCGCTGCACTGATTGGTGAAGGATAGTACAAGAGTGACTTTGTACATGCCAAATGCAGCCCCTAGCTAATGTAACACATGTATTACACACAAACTTGTGTAAATTTTCCTTGATCAAATCTCTTTTAACCAGTTCTCTTGCCTTTACAGGCCAACTGCCGGATCTGTTAACTAACATTACTCAAATAGTGCTTCCAACTTTCCAGCTCTATCACCTAATTTTACTGCATATTTTTCTTGTCAAAATATGGGAAATTCTAGAAGATCAAT